ATGGAAACTGATTGGAAGGGTGTTTATATAAAAATAAAGTGTATGATAGTCGAGACACTAAAATAACTTTACCAAATAATAATATATCCGGAGATAAAAAATTAACAACCGAAATCATGTTCCCCGGAACATTGTTGAAAAGCAAAAGATTCGGAAGTTCTTGGTGTCAAAGAAAACGTTTTCTATGCATGCGGAAAAGTCTGACAAAATCGTGTGGTCATGTTTTCAACAAGATAACGAACAAACGACGGCAATAATGTGACTAGGGAATTGGTTTTTTTAAAAGTAAATTGTCTGAAAGTAACGTCGTGGTCATCGGACTCTTCTTCCGGATCTTGTGGTTCCGCTACCGTCAACAGAATTGGGTGATACCAACACCGTTGTTTCGGTTACTTCATTGTAGGTACAGATTTGGTATCCGCGACGTCTGGTTCCACAAAAGCTGCCTTGATTCTGTCAATGCAGACTGTTTCTCGTCTACCCCAGCTTTTGGCCGTGACAACTTTGTCTGGTTTACCAATAACCATGAAAGGTTCTCCATCTGGGGGTTGCAAAGGTTTTCGTACGCCATCGTGTTGGACGAAACATGAGTGCGGTTTGAGATGCACTGGAGTACGCAAACTTGGTCGGCTCGGTATCGCGGGGACTGAGGTTGTGGTGTGCTGTATCGCCATAGTTGTTATACATAGTTAAGCAATCTGGTGAAACGTCTGCTGCTGGGTCAAGATACTCTCCTGGCAATCGTTAAGTAGTTCCATAAGCTAACTCAGCAGTACAGCAGCCAATGTCCAGCTTGACACTCGAAAGTATACCAAGGAGCGCCAGTGATAATTTGTCACTCCACTTGTCATCAGTGCTGGTTTTAGTTGTTGATGGAACCTTTCATCAATACCATTGGATGCAGGATGGTACGCAGTGGTTCTTATTCTCTTGATCCCGAAAAGTTCAGTTAGCTGTTGAAATAGACCACTCTCGACTGCGTGCCTCTATCTGTGATGACACTTGGGACACCGAAGTTAGAAATCCAGTGCTGAATGATAGTTTTCGCCACTGTTTCGGCAGATATATCCTGCAGAGGTATTGCCACTAGCCACCTCATGAATCGGTCTACACATGTTAAGATCTGGCCAAAACCATTTGACGGGGGTAGTGGTCCAACGATGTCAACGTGTATGCGGTCAAATCTACCATCCGGCGAGGGAAATCTTCCGATGGGTGAAAGAATATGTCCTTGCACTTTTGATGGCTGGCACGCTAAGCAAGCTTTGGACCACTGCCAAAGATCTAGATTCATGTTTAACCAGACGTATCGGTCAGTAATTAACCCAGCACAGCTTGAATACCAGTAAGTGAAATGTCATGCACCTTAGAGAAAACTAATCGTCTCATTGACAGAGGCACAAACAGGAGTGGTTTACACTTGGATAAATCGCAGAGTCATCGAGTGCTGCTTCTTCAAGACACAATGAGGTGTTCACATTGTCTTTCGAACGCCTTAAGTCCTCACCCGTTGCCCGCAACTCTGCCATTTCTGCCAGGTCAATATGATCAAGTTCTATCATTATTATTATTAAGTTCTAAGACGTTTACGTACATACGAGACAAAGCATCAGCTGCCTCATTTTTGCTGCCTTTGACATACCTTATATCTGAAATGAATTGTGAAATAAATTCTAAATGTCGAATTTTTCGTGGCGAGCAGTTGTCATGCTTTGCATCAATTGTTTTAGTGTGTGGCTGTGTGTCGGTGAGTACTATAAATGCATACCCTTCAAGCACATATCTGAAAGGCTTGATAGCCAAGTAAGTCGCCAGTAGCTCTCTGCCGAATGTACTGTATCGCGGTCCAGAGGTCGTTTCGACTGGAAAGATAATGGTTCCCACTGACCGTGTAAAAACTGTTGTAGTACTGCCCCCACCGCAACATTTGAAGCGTCTGTCGTGATTGCTAGTGGTGCTTCTGAATCACGACGAGAGGGAAGAGTCCCAGAACTTGGAGCCAGCTTCAGTTTGTAAAAAGCATCATGGGCTGCTTGGGCCATGTGAAACACTGGCTCGTCCTTGCAATAAATCTGTCAGTGGTTGGATTACTTCAGCACATTTAGGTACGAAAGTCAGTAGAAGTCTACTAATCCCAGAAATCTTTGCAGCTTTCGAAACGAGTTTGGAACAGAATATTTTCGGATTGCATCTACTTCGTGCGGAGCTGGTTTGACACCGTTGGCATTAACAGTTTGGCCTAAAAATTGTGAGGATCCTCTGCCAAATTCCCACTCCTGCGGATTGGTTGTGATGCCATATTCACACAGTTGTTCGGAAAGCGTCCTCAGATGTTTCAGGTGCTCTGTTTCAGATGCGCTACCTACCATTAGGTCGTCTATGTATGCACTGACGAAGGGTAATCCGTGAAGTGCCTGACCTATAAACCTTTAGAATATTTGAGCTGCGTTTGTCAAACCAAACGGCATACGAATAAATTGGAATAGTCCGAAGAGGGGCAGTGATGGCCATCTCAGGAACATCATTGGGTTCCACAGAAATATGGTAGTGGGGTCGCAAGAGGTCGGTCTTGAAAAAAATAGTTACTTTTGTCATAGAGTTCATAAAATCATGTACGTGAGGAATTGAATACTTATCAGAGACCGTACGCTTGTTCAACGCTCGATAATCACCGCGAGGCAATATTTCCCCCGATGTTTTTTAGGCACCATATGCATGGGCGACAACCATGGGCTCTTGAAAGGGTGTTTAACTCCCAACTTAAGAAGTTCATCGAATTCCTGCTTTGCTATCTGCAGCTTCTTAGGGTTTGAGCGTCAAGGCTTTGATGAGACTGGAGGAAGCTTTGTGGGAATATGGTTTTGGGGAAGACTTTGTGAAATCCGTTTGAGTGAACTCAGGAAATTCTCGCAGAAGGACATCGTACTCGGAAATGCCGTTTATTAGCGCTACTACTACGTTTATTGTCTTTGTCCACCGACGACAGCGGTCGTAGCTGATCACCGGCCTCCCCCTTTATCGATGAAAATGTTATAAAATCTCAAGCCAACAAACAACGACCTGCTTCACTGCCAAACTTCTTGTGATACCAGCACGTGCTACTTTTGGACGCAATTCTACTCGTGGCCTTGTCTCGACTACGGGTCCTGCTTCTGTAGAACTTCGGTGATCGTCGATTTAACTGCAAAGCCGTCAGCTGTCCCGCAAGCATGTTCATCTTCCTCTCTGAAGAGGCTACTCTGTCGTTTTGCGTCGGCTGATCAGTACTTTCAACTTGTTATTGCATCCTTTCGTACACAAGGTCAGCGGTGTCAGCCAACCTGTCCGCATCTCCGCAGACGGAGTTGGCAGAATAAACGGTTATCCATGTTCCTATCTTTCAGCAGACTTTGCATGTGTCAGTCGCGAAGGTGTCTTGTCACCGAGGCATATGCTACTTAGTGGTTGATCAGATAACGAGGTAGCTTTCAGCACCTCTTGCTTAAAAACATCATAAGGTGTGTATAGGTGGGGCTTTAATGGTATCCCCTTACTTGTTCGGCCACTTTTGGCAAAACAGAGCTTGTGTATCCGAACTTTGTATTTTGTGAAGTTACATGATTGGCCATGAAGAAATGTTCTAGACGGACACACCACAATTGCGAGTCAATAAACTTTAAACAAGGTATAAGAAGATTAATGGCACGTACAGACCCTGCACTCGAAATGTCTTGGTTATGACAGCTTAAGGACATCAGTACTGGTACAGCAAAAAATTTTTACGAACAAGAGTAGGAAAATACAGTAAAACAAGCGTGTCAATGCCTACCACAAAGCAGCCAGAGAAACTCTCAGTATATATGTATACATGTCATTATTGTATACAGTTATTAATGACTGGTTGCAGTATTCAACTAATTCCCGACACTGCTGATCCACCCGCGTCAGACAGTGTAAACAACAGGAGTTAGCGCGAAGTATATACCAGGATGTTGTATTGGTGAACGAGCGAGCAAAACGTTTGCATCAGTACAACTAAACAAAGATGATCAGTGAGTTGTTACATATATCAACACAATACAGTGAAATAAAATGCTACAGGAGCACCCCTTTTCCCACTACAAGACATGGAATAATTTTAGTTGTTCTGATTGCTCTACGTAGGTCAGATTCGAAAGGTGGGCCACAGACTTAGAATCCGCTATCTTCAACATGTTCTGGTACTTAACCACTCCTTATAAGGCATAAAAAGTCTCAATCCCGTGGCTTATGACTCTGCAGACTTTCACACCATCGCGAATATCAGCACAGAAGGGTCAAGTATTTATTGTAGTTGGTTGACACGTGACAAAAAGAGGAAAGGACTGTAACGCACTTGAAGCCTTGCAGTTTCACTTTCCAGTTGCGATCTATAGATTGCTTCATTTCTTCGTTATCAAGCTGTCCTTCTTGTTGGTTGTACTTTATCATTAAATGCAAGTACATCCAATGTACTTGCTAGGCCGTTGGCTCACATCTTCCTCTTCCCATTTTCCCTTCCAGATTCTCGTGGTCACCAGTGAACTTACGCGCTCCATCTGCAATAACGTATCTACCTGCTGACGAAACCTATCAACACCTGGTCGCTACAGGACTTAAGAATCTTCTTTGAGGAACCTGAATCGTTTAGGTAAAGACAGGATGACCACGGAGGTAGAATATCCAACACACAATATCTTTTTTATGAGCGAAGCTATCTAATCGCCTGCTATAGCTTTGGTTTGCCCGTTTCTTAATTAAAATGCTAATAAAAAGACATCATATGACATAAAATTCATCAGATGTGTACAAAATCAAAATAAGGAAAACCCAGATAACTTTAGACACTCATACTTCGAGCATCAAAAAGTGCCTGCTCTAGTAACACCAGCACTATAACGTCGTCACCTATGCACAACTTTTCATCAGACTACTGTTGGCTCCAAACGAAAAATTCACTACCTAATGAACCACGCAACCTTGAACAAAGGTTAGGGCTGTGGAACAAATCAACCCTATCGCCAGTCATCGGTCACCGAACCGTTATCAGCAAAAAATAAGCCTCAGCTCAAGCTATGCTATTCCTAAATTGAAGTTATGGATTTGAAACACATGTTTTTATTCTTTTCACTTGAACTAACAACCGTTGCTGCATAGTTTCCGCGTGATCCAAAACGGTTCAATAGCAATGTTTGGGTTTGATCTGGTTCCTAGCTTTTTCCCGGCAAATATTTGTTCGAATGCACTTATGAGCGATGCTCACTTTAGTCAGTCGTTGATGTCACATGAGAGAGTAATCAGAGAGGTTCGTCAAGAGTACCAAAGACTTGCGCGTGAAATAGTCAACGCTACCAGCATAGGAGCTCATATGCTGCCTAGAGAGTTCGGTCTGTCCCATACAGGGTAATCAATTTTTTTATTTGTTTGAGAAGTTTATTTAATTAGTACATACTTTCATCCATAATGATGATATCCAAACCTTTTGGTACGTTTTGGACCTCACTATTTACTACAGGCTGTCTACTACAATAGACATTCGAGTATTCACCGCCTATTCTTAAAATTATGGTGTACATAAAACGTGGCTTGAAATTATTCGTTTAGGACGAACAAACTCGATAAATATTTCCATGTGGATCTTTGATTGGTGCCCATTTCACTTCCAAAAGGGTATACTCTTTTACGCTATCACCATTAGTTTATAACAAAGATATAAAATCTGCCATTGCTTACTTTCTGCTTATTTCCATTTTTGATGTTTGAACCTACCTTGTTTAAAATACGATGTATTCCAAATTTTCCAATGTAGGTATAAACATTTTCCTAAAGAACTTGATTTTTTCTGTTTATTTCAAAATACTTAAATTTCCCTCCTACTTTTGTTTATAGAAATATCTCACATATCCAGGTGAATCACCAAAATGGGAGGGTCGATGCACGAGTGACGTTAGGTGGGCAAGTAGTAGTCTCTGTCGAGCACTCTCGGGTACACAGGTCAGTAACATCTCGTGGAGTTATCGTATCATAATATTTTTAACTTTGGTTCTTTTATATGAAGAAATATAGAGGCATTACAGCACAACGTATAAATCGTTTCCGTAATGTTGGTTTAAACCTTTGCACTAATACCAATCAATCAATGATATTTAGTCTATCAAAAATGGCCTTCAGTTGTATTCAACATCCGTATGTAGCGCAGCACTACATTGATGTATAAATGAATGCAATCTCACCACAAGGTATAACATTAACCAGCAATTATTCGTAAAGCTGACAGTAGATTCAATGAGATCTAGTAATCTATAAGCCTTTCACTTATCGTTGTCTGGAGCTCTTAGTGACTACACTGTATTGAAAAAATATTGACATAGACTATCTGCTCACATTTCACAAATGTGAAAAATATGCTAGTCTCATTAAAACTACACTGGATATTTGAAAGGAATCAAACCGACTGACGGGTCCGTTTTTCCGTAAAAGTAATTTTTTTAAAGGATGTTTGCTGTTTTTATAACCTACTCTTATTTGAGTTCATGTAAGTCCCACTTTTTCAGCTAAGCTGTTCTTCAAGAACAGGTCCACCAGTCTTGACCAGGGTTCCAATATGAAGTAGTTGAACAGTACGAAAAGTTAAGCTAAGTTAAGAAATAAATACATTTTGGTGTTCATTAAGTTCGAAAAGTAATATCAGTATCCTTTTCATTGTCTTTTTCAGTCATACAACGCACCAACTTTTGAAATAATCTCTTAAGATAATTAAACTGTAAAGAAGTGATGAGTTTGACTTACTATCTTCTATAAGTTAGTTATCTACCTTTCGAAACCAGTGATGTCCATATATTGTTTTCAATAAATGTGATTATTGCATTTAAGATGGTAGTGGTTGAAAAGAAACCTATCAAACAAAGCTTAAGGAATAGGTATCATTGGTCTAAAGTGCAAACAGATTGCTCTCGATGGTACAAAAACTTCTTGGCAGGATGAACAGCTTTACCGCCCTAAAAGTGACCTAGATACGCACAAAATGCCCTAGGTTTATTTTTCCTACATTATTTCCCCTTACTCTTTTCCAAAGCGTTTCATTTTAAGTATCCAAATAAGTGGACATATTGACTAAATTCATCAGTCTACTACGATAAGTATAATTGGAAATATTTGGTTTGCACATTGTTTTTTGGATTCGGTTGGCTTAGGTCAAACATTCATGTTTTCAATACAGGAAAAGACCACCAAAGCCTACTTCCTAAGTAGTATACAAAAAGCAAGCGTATAGAAAAATATTGACATCAAAGCAGATAAAATTGTATGGCAGGAGAGGAAATTTAAAAAGTAAGGTTAGTTAAAATATGCAACCTTTAGAAAAAACCAGAGATTTAATATGCTTACACTATTGTGACCAGTTTTCAGCCGTCACCTAGCCTCTCCACCCATTGATTTCTGTTATTTCAAGGACTCCAACCAGGGAATCTATACCTCCTTACACAGCTCACACCGACAGCTAGACTTAACGGAATGGTGCCACCTCTTAGTCTGGCACAGCACACTGCAAAATGGCAGTAGCAACGAATCAAATCAACTGCTCCCATTGACCCCGACAATAGGTAAACTTTGTCTCCATCCTTCCAAATCAACAGAGGACCAGACAATACTGCGTAATGTTGCCACAGTTCATATCAGTACATCAAGTAAGAAAGCAGTGAAGTGGAAGATGAAGAGAAGACAATTCAGTCGAAAGAAATGTGAAGTACTGAAAGAGAGAAGGAAGAATGAGAAGGTGGTGAGATTCGGTATAGCGTCGTTAAGATGATAATGTGTGCATACATCTGCGCCACTGACATCGGTTCTGAGCCATGTGATCACCTAAAGTCTCCAACCACTGGTTCCTCTCTTACCGTTGACCCCAACCACCTAGTCTGAATCGCCCCACATGGCTCAAACCAACAGTCAAAGACTTCATACATTAGTGCCATGTTTAAGTCTGGCCGCTTCGAGCTTTTTTCCAGCTTGAACCTACTTCGGCCAACATTATGTGACTAGACAGAAGACGACTAGGCATATGTAACACATGTCCCAACAATCTCAGTCAATGAAGGTTCACAACCATGTCAACTGGCCTACCTCTGCTCCCTAAAACTCTATACCTGATTTCTGCATTACTCACGTGGTGACACCATGGAATACGGCCTATACTAAGAATGCAACGGTGGTCAAACACCTGAAGCCTTCTCATGTCTACCACCTTCAATAGTCATGTTTCACACCATACAGTAGAACAGAGTGAACTGCTGTGCAGTACACGTGACCCTTAATAGGCATTCGGATATCACGGCCCCGACCGATAGCTGCTACCTTGACGTGGTGGTCAGGCTTGCATATCACAATGACCCAACGAGCTATGCTGGTGGAACACTTGTTCCCTCGATGTCCTGCCATACCATAAAGGTCTGTTGGATAGTGGTTAGACGAAAAGCAGTTGCAGTTGTGGTGTAAATTACTACACTATGATGGGGGTCTGAGGGCGAATTTGTACTGCTGCTAGCTGGATGGGGTGTGACGGCGGTAATGTGTTTTCCATGGATGACCAACAGTGCCATGCTCATGTTGCCTTCTCAGTGGAAGGGGGTGGGTTACAAAAGGTTGGCCCCAAAAATAACACTCCACCATGCCCTATGATCTGCTGAGCCGACGGTATTGGTTCATTTGTCACTGAGAGCAGTGATTAACAGTGGAGGCTAAAGAGATGGAAAAAGCAGTGGTGATGGATAACAGTAAACAGTTATTTAGACATTAAGAAAAAATGGGGAGGGGGTGGAAAGATCAACAACAGTTAGTAAGACCATAGCGGAGAAGGATGGGTCTACGATTCACTCGCAGGGGAGGAGACCGAAACGATAGGCAGAACACTTTGAGGAACAGTTTAACTGGCCTCCAGCCACCATTGTGTTACCCCCTATCCAGTCGGATTCTGAATGGAAAATTGAAACGCCCTCAACGCTTGCAGAAGTCGAGAAAGTCGAGGGAATGCGGCAGAACCAGACGGACTAACTCCAGAGGTATACAAGAATGGTGGTAGAGTGCTCTTAGTAAGGTTAACGAAACTGTTAACTAGTATATGAGAATCAAAGACGATCCCCTCTGACTGGTCCAAATCATGATTATTCCATATTAGATTTGTTTATTTGATATAAAGCGCACAGTGATACAGTATTATTTAATTGATCACTGTGCGCTTTATATCAAATAAACAAATCTAATATGGAACTACATTCTACCACAGTGCCCAAGTTTTTCACTTATATTCATGATTATTCCAGTTTTCAAGAAAGGAGAGAAGTTCTCTTGTGATAACCACAAAGGAATCAGACTGACGAATATAGTATCTAAGATTCTAGTTTCTGTAATTCTTCGACGCCTGAGTGGAGCTCGAGAACAGCAAGCCAGAGAAAACCAGGCAGACTTTGGACCCGGCCACGGGTGTATCGACCAAATGCTTTAAACTTCGCCAGGTCCTGGAACACTAACACGTTTATCGACGTCCGACACTGTCTGTATTTCTCTACCTGAAGGCGGCATTTGACTGCACTGATCGAGAAGTCTTGTGGCAATGTCTCTCATTGAAAGGCGTGCAGAGTAAGTACATCGCCTTATTGAAAGCTCTCTACTCGAACACTTGTGGGTGTTTTAGAGCCTATGGTGAGATGTCAGGTGAGCTGTACTCATCGAATGGTGTTCTTCAAGGGTGCCCACTTTCTCCATTCTTATTCAATCTCATCATAGATATTCTCATGGAGGTCTCCCTCTCGTCACCTGATTACACAGACATTGACCCAATCGCGGGAAAATTTTCGTTAGACCTAGAATATGTGGATGACATAGTCGTGTTAGGTGAAGACGCTTACAAGATGCAGTCTTCTTAACACTTTGAGTGGCAATCCATTCAGGATCCGACTGGATAGGGGGTAACACAATGGTGGCTGGAGGCCAGTTAAACTGTTCCTCAAAGTGTTCTGCCTATCGTTTCGGTCTCCTCCCCTGCGAGTGAATCGTAGACCCATCCTTCTCCGCTATGGTCTTACTAACTGTTGTTGATCTTTCCACCCCCTCCCCATTTTTTCTTAATGTCTAAATAACTGTTTACTGTTATCCATCACCACTGCTTTTTCCATCTCTTTAGCCTCCACTGTTAATCACTGCTCTCAGTCGTGTCGTAAACGTTTTCTCAATCTACTTTTAAGTTTCGCTCGCTCTTCATTGTACTCAGGGATGCGTTGACGCGCATCCATTAGTTTGGAAGAAGCTGTTGAAATCCACTGACTCTTAGCCACTCTTTAGGAGTTGGCTACGGTCTTCAGAGCTGCTTTTACAGCAGAATGGAGACGGCACCCAGCTTCTTCTGGATGAGTGATAGTCTTCTGTTCCGTCAACTGGCTAGTCAATTTCCCACTGAAAGTGGCTTTGGTGTTTCCGTTGTCCAGCAGTACTCGTAATGGTTTTGTTGCCAAATTTTTCCTACGTCCGTTGAGACACAGATATATACGCTCTCGGTCCAACGCGTGGTCGCTATCCAAACACAGTACTCCAAAAGGAGCGGCAGTCTTCCACTGATCCTCTCCGGTGATGACTAATAGCAATTTGGTTTATCTGTGTCCATTGCTGGGTTGAGCTTCGTGGACGCCACGTCACACAGTGTCTTTTCTTATGTCTGAAATTTGTGCTAGCTAAAAATAGGCGGTTATCTGAGCATAGTTGTAATAGGCGATCACCGTTATCTGTTTGTTCAGCCGGGACTCCGAAAGTGTCACTTATGTGTCTTTCTGCCTCACTCAGCCTACCCACCTGTGTATTGAAGTCACCTGCAACAACCACGTTTGGTTTTCAAGAGGAGGCTAGACAGTTTACGGTAGAACTCGTCCTTCACTTCATCCGAGCTGCAGTTAGTGGATGCGTAATCAGAGATTACAAAGAGACAACAGTGAGTTTCACCATTCCTTTTAGGCCTCACTGTGCCATTCAGCCGAACAGCACAGAGGTGACTATCAACTGGGATCCAGTCTAGTAGTGAGCTTTCTGCCCTAGTGCTTAATGCTATGCATACACCTGCAAGTCCGCGAGAGCTAGCCATTTAATCTCCAGAAACTCGAAGGGTAAGTTTTGAGGATTCACCATATTGGCCGGAAGAGGTTAGGTGAATAACCACACTTGGGTCCTGTATGCGTGTCTCACAAACACAGCACACATGCATGGCTCGAGTCGCTAGAATCTTAGTGAATGAAAGCTGTTGACCAACTTGACGGAGGGTATAGACATTGAAGGCTGCAATATGTAATTTGGAGCGTGGTTTAAGGAGACCAAGGGTGCTGTTCTGTGGATTCAGATCGTTGTCGAAGGCTGCAGAACTAGGAGAAATTACATATGATGTAGTGTTGTTAATTGGGAGACGTGAAGGAAGATAAGGAGGTAATGATGTGGGAGGTGGATAGCAGTCTGAGGAAATTTGAGTGCTGAGATTTAACTTATGTACATTCTTGAAGTTCTGTTGCTAATTCTTTCCCCTTCGTTTGATAAGTAGCTGGTTATGCACAGTGATAAATAGTATTGCGTGAAAAAAGCTTTCCGATGTGCCTGAAAACTACGGGTCAGGATACCAGTATATAATTTCTTTATCAAGTATCTCACGAATCCGTGCATCTAAAACGTATAACCTGAAGCAAACATAATAATGAGGATAATATACTTGAATAATCTAAAGGAATAAATTGAATCAACACCATTAGTAGGACCGTGATTAATGGACAGAGTCTGTGAACTTTATGTCTATAATTGTTGAAGTCTGGTGCATTACTTCTATTTCAATTGTTATATAGACATGAATGCTACTATAATGGCTTCTTCATATGTGGAAGTAATTAGCTGAGGAGATAAATAGCCGATGTTAGTCATTCGAGTTAACGAAATAGTATTCTTGATCTTCTGAAACCTCCTTGCAAACCGCATATCGTAGCCTCCAGTATCTGAACCTTTTATCTAATTGGACAACAAGCTCCACTTCTGGCATTTTAGGCCAAGGATATATGCTGCATTTGTGGTTATTCACTCGGTCTCAAGTTTCTAGAGATTCCATGACTACTTTTTGTGTTTTCGTAGGTGAAAGTATAGCGTTGTCTTCGAGCAAGAAGTGCTACACTCAGCTGAATAGAATCACCTCCAGTCTGGTAAAAACAGCGTTAGAAATTACAAGTGACCCTCAGAAGACGGTTAAAATGACAACTAAATCTTCTGAATTGATGAATGTACATGAACACCTCCTTGTAAGCTCCAAGCACAATGAGCAGTGAAGCTTAAATGTAGGCTGGAGAAGAGTCTATGTGATGACTGTGAGCGATGATGGGCAATTGTAGATATATTAAAACCTGTTGCGGAAAATGGGGTGAGAGAGAGTCCACGGTTAGTGAAATGATAGTGAATGAATTTGCATTCGTTCACCGAGGGGATGATTGATCGATGGGTAAATCATTTCGAGGAACAGTTCGACTGGTCTCCAGCTGTGCACTGATTGCCTGCAGTACAGTCACAGCCTGAATGGAATATTGAGATAGAGCTTCTGATTCTCGGAGAAACAGAGAGTTCTGAGTGAGTAAGCTCAGTAGGCTCAAATGGATCAGCACCATAGGCATTCAGCAACAGTGATGGAGGATTATTTGTTGGATAAAATGAAGTGTTACCTGGTGTGCGGGAATCATATGTGATCCCCTCTGACCGGTCCTAATCGTTGACTGTCTCAGTCTTGAAGAAAGGAGAAGAATTCTCTGGTGAAAACCGCAGGGGAATCAGTGTGACGAGTACTGTATAACAAAGATTCTAGGTTCCATAGCCACTCGGTGCCCGAAAGAATCTTGGGAACTTCAAACCCGAATGTAGCAGGTGAGATTCCAAGCTGGTTCAGATGTATCCACTAAATCTTGGAACACACGGACACGTGGTGCCACTTGACACTGGTAGGATTTCCGGAGGTGAATGTGGCATTGGAATCCGTTGGTGGGGAGATATCATAACAGTATCTGTCACTGAAATGATTACTGAAATCTGTGGTTAGTTGTCCACGTTGAGTGGAATGCAGCATCTAGTAGAATATCTAATTTATCTATTTCAACTTCACCCTGTGAGAGAAGTGCATGTAGATTCTGTCTTCTACTTATCTGACTTTACACTGGTTGATTTTATCAGAGGAGACTCTTCAGTGTGTCTGATGTGAGAAGACGGTAAGCCTACTTAGGTGATATCGCAGAGTTCTACGGATTCTTTGAGCGAGAGTTGGAGAATACCAAAGTTGGTGCTTCGAAACTCCAGGTGATGTAGGGCAGGATCGATCGCGGTGACTTAGATGCACTTAAGTGTTTTCTTCACGTGACAGTTATGTCACGTTTCGCTGTTTGCTGTATCCTCCCTAGGCTTTCCATCATCCTGGATTATTCTGTTTTCATCCCTTTGAGACTCATCTTGTTTCTTTGTAGTTTGATGCGATGTTGTGATCTGTTGCAGCCTAGTTTGTTAGGCATTAATGCCTAGTCTTAAATTGATGCTGACTAGTTAATTGACGTGGAGTAACAGAAAAGAATATCTTATACAGATTATGTGAATACTGAGTTTCATTTTGATTAGTTGTCTTATGTTCATCCCTGAGGAATACTTGGTAATTAATTTAGATGTTGGCAGCTTCCCTGACAGCCTCATTTGGAACCGTCTATCTGGGGATTTCGCTAGTAATCTTAAGACAGTTATCAAGTTCACCAATCAAAACTATTCTACTTAGTCGGAGTACTTCATAGTTATCCTAAATTCAACCTAATGGTAGTAGATTTATAATGGTATAAATGATAACTAGGCGAATAATTTTTGTTCATCTAACAGTCAAGTATATCTACCAGTCTTTTAGATGAAACTGAAACTAATCTATCGGTCGTATCATTAGTCTGTTGACGCATCACCGAAATAATTAACTGGAAGCCGTTTCTACTCATTCAGCTATGACCCCTCCTTAATCTGCAGCACATAGAGCGTGAGATATCGCACGCAAATAGTCGAAGACTTCACCTGTTTTGTTTGTTGATTATCATCGTAGAATACAGTGGTAGCCAAATTGATTTTGGTTTTATGTAACTTGTTATTTGTTTTGATTCAGACACCGAAATGATGACCCAGTACCATTTGAAAGGACTAGACTACAATGGTATGACTCAAATACGCGTAGACCACTTCTGCCTGAACCATCTTCAGGACCTCAACCATCTAGATATATTACAACGAGTGAACTAGCAAAACTTCCGATTAGCATATACAGAGTTGTAAAAGATGCATCAAAAAGTGATGATACATCTGTTTCACCTGACTCATCTACAAACCCACCGAGTACTTCAGCTTACATACCAGTTTTAGATGCAAATCAGAATCACACACCATCACCTGGTTCAGTTTATCTTCAACCAGAGGCTAAAAGGAATACACTTGTTCCAATCCAGCCTATACAGTCATCTCCAGCAAGAGGTCAACCCGAATGCGAAATATGTTTAAGTAAGTTGGAATTAGTTTTGTCATTAATGCCAGAGCGTTTCTTGACCGATTCATGCATTAAGCGGTTAAAAGTTTTTCAATAGGTTTATGCCTAATCGAGATTAAGAATAGCTTATTAATTACCTTCTGTAGAGGCTTAGAATTCTTCAGACTCATTTTCATTATAATTTACGGCGCGGTGGCTAACACTAGCTTGCAGAATGCGTGTTTCATGTTCTTCGAAGTCCATCAATTGGGTAGCGTCCATCTCTTTTGGTGCTGGGAGCGAGTCTTAGAGCGAAAACCAATCACTGAGATGCTGGCACACAAGTCATGGAGAAGATGAAACATGCTTTCTAAGCTTGACTGCTAGCTATCACCACGCTAACTACTCCATGCCGAGTCATACGAGTAAATCTATGTGTCCACACAGTTGACATGCCACCAAAAACCGATCGATTCGTCCCATCATAACAATTAACAAAACGTTACAATCTAAGGTACTGGTTATAGGGTTCATGTATTGTTATATTTCTACAAGTATGCTAATGTAAACACTAGACTTGTAAACAGCATATAGAGTAAAATGCAAAGATTTTTCCGTCCTTCCACCCAAAAGGTCACATTCTTACCATTAAGCGTGACTCTAGGAAATATTAGATGCATAGAAGTAGAGAAATAACTCATAATTTTTTCATATGCAGTCCTCATTTTCACACGTAAATCATTGTTATTCAGCAAACTGTATCCTTGAGAGAGCTTGTATAAAACCAACAGGCCTGCACACAGAAATAAATTCCTGACTTGATGAAAGCTTCAGACAGTGACCAGCATCATACAGAACAATGAATTAAACTGACAGAGCAGATCCTTCAGTTAATTGAATCAAACTTAGTCAGCATTTATGTCGATTGATGAAAACAAGTGTAGTGTCCCTGTCTTTACACCATCCTTCAGTATTATTGATTGACTCCTATCAGCTGTTCTTACGGATTTGACTTTCATATCTGGACTCTGCATCGAAGTTCCTTCCACCAACTATCGCTGAACTAAGTGAGCATGAAAGTGTCATGTGTTTTCAAGTCGACCTAGATATTATTGGAGATAGTAGGGTGATGTGTAGCTGGTCATGTTTCTAGGTAGTCGAAATTCCTGGTGACAAACATAAACACCGTTGTAACTTCCGAATTATGAGTGTGACAGCTGACAACTCACTCTTCGAGAGAGAGAGATTCCGTCCTATGCGAAAGTCGGTTTTGAGTTCGTTTGAGAATTAGAAAGCTGACTTCTCGTAACCTGCAAAGCGTATGTAAAAAAAATTCAGTCTCGCAAATAATGCAGCATATAGTAATTGACCTCACGCACCAGTGTTATATGTACTGTTGTGTACTGAGCACCCTGTCTCCTATGGAATGACGTACTAATGACATTGGATTACATCTTGATGTTATCAAGTAGCCTAAGAGTCTTAGCTTCAATGCAGTCTGTATGATCATGCTTCTTTCTCCCTGGAACAACAGTATGTGAGTATATGAGTCGGACGTGAAGCACGTGTGATTAAACTTGGAAGTTATGCCATAAACTTATACAGCTCACCTCTTATGTGAATGTGCTAGAAACGAACGTATCAATGAACTGTGTCAACCATGTAGAATGAATTGATTATGATATTGCTTGTCATCATCCACGTATTTTGGTAATAATTAGCAACGATGTCTGCCTTCTTTCGACAACGTTATAAGTGGAATGAATTGTAATAGTTTCCTCAATCTATTTTCTGTGATAATAATGCAGTGTTGAATGCAGCTATTTCTATTGTTCGGAATAAATGTAGTGTTGTTAGTGATGATATTGAGATGTGAATGCACGATTCTACTTCACGCCGCTAATGCGATGATACTATTTCAGTAACGATCCACGTATGCCAGTGGGCAAGCGAATTGAGATTCCTATGGTAGACTGTGAACCATAGACATTGTTTGTTTTAGGACTATCGGGGAGGTAGACTGGAGTTTGTAGCTGAACTCCACTAGTTGGAAGTAGAGTGTTTGTACAAACTGGCTACAGCTTTATCCCTGTATCGACTAGGATATTTTACATGTACTCAACGTAACATAGTGAAAAATGGAAATTTGTTTAGAGCGTAGTGTTTTATTCAGTGGTGTCGAAAGTGTTTTACCGATCTGCTTTGTCGATGTCAAATTTTAAAAGTTGACAAGACGTCTACTTGGTGGAGCCCTAATAATCGCCTAAGCACCTTCAGTCGATTGTGACAGCCTTGTAATCTTTTTCTAAGTGTTATTCATAACTTAGGTTCGCCTCCCCTTCTGAATGAATAAGTAATCTGTTTATCCACATGCTTATTTTCACTCTTTCAACTGTCTCACAAATGCTTGCACCATCACTCAGTAATGCCACGTGCCAGGTAATTTGATATTCACTGACTGAACTGTTTGTTGATGTGATGCCAAATATATATATATATATATATATATATGAAACTAGGTGGTGAATCTACCCATTCTTCTGAGGTGGATAATTTTGGTGATACTAGTTTAGAGATTATTTAACTGTTCGATATTATTATTGTTGCTATTATAACTGTTAATATAGAGTTCAATCTGAAGAATACAGGTGTGGAAAGCGAACAATCAGTAAGCAGTGGAGTAGAAGTAAACTATTCGATTGAAATGAATGTAGCTTTTAAGCTGCATATCAAGTAATTAGCTGGGTGTTCATGGATAGAGAGACTTGAACTTTCTCAACAAGTAAATATGCCTTTCCAACAGACAACTAAAAGCCTTGTTGGTCTCTTTCAAGAATTAGTGGTCCTGTTGAGCTGATCACATCGGTCGTATATGCACTCACTTGGAAAATAAGGTCGTGAATTCTATCCAGCTTGGTTCCTGAAGAGTGAACTCTTAGTGTATTTTATTTCTTCAGTTATAGAACATCAATCAGTCTTAGTGATCAAAATACTTCTGTTAGAAGATAAGCTTTTAAGCCGCTTTCGCCTTATTTGTGTATCTGAGAAAAAGCTTCTCAAGACAACGGAATGAATTTTAATGCTAATCGGGGTTTAAGGATGCTAATGTATGAAGGGCCACATGGTTCCTTAAATGTTTTAGTGAATCTTGCACACTGAAAAATGCATGCACTTCTCAGAAGTGATTAAACGTCTAAAAGACTTCCACTTTATATTTCGACTAGCTAGGAGTATGTTCCAGTTCTCTGTTTGATTAGATGACTTCATGAAACCACTCAAGAAAGTGACGAAGTCCTTGTCTGTCGTCATTTGTCTCAATCACTTGTTATCCCAAGTGCATAGGCGCAAAGTTCCTTGTATCGATTTTTCATTAATTCCTGTGTTGCTCTACATCTTCGTTGACCAGTTGTCTTTCCGTTTAAAAATCGTGGTGTTGTATAAGTGCACAGAGTGATTGGAATTATGAAGGTATTTAATACTGGTGATCAATTTAAGAGTAAATGTCATTATGTTTATGTATTCCAATCGGAAAGACGTCAGATATTGACAGTGAATCAGTGATACGCTCCGGATATAACCAACACTGCTGTTGATGTGATGTTATTGTTCAAGTCTGAAACAGTACTGGTTAACTGTGACAATATTTGGTTTGTTTTCACTATCCATTGGTTATCTTTGGTGTATTCGATAGTCTTATGAGATTAACTATGTTCGTAGCATCATTGGAAAAATAACTCAGTGTTGAAAATCTCTTTTAATGGTTCATATTCAGCGGTGTGGATTCCAATGTAGTTATGTTATTAAATATTGTGAATAAGATGTTTGCAAAGATGTGGACGAGCTGTGACAACTGATACGTCTTTCGTATACAGTCCAATAAGTATTAGTTGACAGTTGAGGTATTGGGGTGTGTTTGTTGATAGGAAAGAACTTATCCGATCAGTTGGAACGAATAAGTCTAGTTGAATTTTTGAGTTTGCTGATGAAGACACGATTGTTGATTTTTTGACTGACTAACCATAACTGTAAGTACCAGGATGTGAACGTGACTGTGAGCGTATTGCCATTTGGTTACGACTGCGACTGAATGTTGAATAGTGGGCGTGGTGAAGCTAACACTCATTTCTATCAAAAGCCTGACTGGATTATTGAATCGTCCACCTATGCAAGGTGTCGTAATTCGGAGGATCATACAGTCTACGGTGACAAGATAAAATGTGCATGATCCTGCTGCTCACTATTAGGGGACCGCTTTCCGTTGAAAGCCAAATTAGCGGATACGTGGCTGCAAGACGAGTAAATGAGGTAAATAAAACATATGTCTGACAGTGATGATTATGTCAGGATTTTTGCGAATGAATTAATGTGGAGAAGCTAACGAGGTTGTCAAATCTATTTTAATGTTACCTCAAGATAAACAGCTTCCATTTTGTGTTCAGGTGAGTATCAAAACAAAGATCGTCTGCGTCATCTTCCCTGTGGACACGCATTTCATGTAAAATGTATTGACCCTTGGTTAAAAGGGTCGATAACTTGTCCGAAGTGCCGTGCTAGTGTTCGCACTGGGTTAACTCGCTTGGAACGGGCTCGTCAACGACTGGTCACCCGGTCAAACGTTAGGACTTGTTCAAGAACAGTTCCTGGAATAGCACTTCGTCAGCGACCAAGTGTACCCATTCCAAGTACCCAAGAACAGGTATGTTGTCTTTTTGTTTTATGTGATCCGATACGTATTCAAATGCTCTATCGATAAAACTTTTGTCGAAACATGTGGAATATACTTCGTCAGTAGTTTTCTTTCATTTGTTTTCCCATGTTCGTTACTTTCACAAGGACATTATATACAAAGGATAGTTGACTTATGAGATTTCCTCCAGAATTGTTACCAAACTAAATCAATGGATTGGCATCGCTTGTGTTTATGAAGGGTGGGATGCTGTAGCCAATCGCAGTTCACTCCGAATTTAGTGTATGGATGGAGTTGAAATATGCTGAAATGATTTAGTTTTGTAGACTGGTATAGTTTGGTTGAATCGTTTGTAAAGCAACATTTACCTTCTAGATAGTTTTCAGCCCAGTTAGAGACCTACTTCACAATAGGAAGCACCAAAAATCTATTTTGTTCTAGCTCGCAGCTTTTCAGAAGTGTACATACACGACAACATAAAGGATGCAGCTCAGGACCGTCATATTTCGTAACGAGCACGTAACTGACTATTCTACCATCAAACTGCAATCGAATGGTGAGAATTTTTCAAACATTCCGCTCCAAATTAGAATTTCGGAAATCCAAACTGAATCTAGTGCTCTCTGTTTTCCATTAGTCTTATGGCTGTCATCAGTCCCTCAGGAAAACTGCTGTGGAAACAGATCGGTTTGATCTGCTTTGACTGGCTGTAGAAAATAAGACAGCAGATGATCTCCCCTTCCTCTGGATTTAAATTATACTCTCCAGTAGTGCAGCAAGTTTAACTAATAACTTCTATGATATGTATGCAAACTTAGTCTTCGTGAAGTCTTCAGTACAGCCGATAACTGAGAAGTTAATAGAAAATACTCCTCACACATGTGATTAAATTAATGACGATGAGTTTTCTAGGATGTTTAGAATTGCGCATATTGAATATATGGGAGTGTACAAAATCATGAGCCGAACCTCTTTTTCTAGGAAATTCGTCCTACTGGCATTCCTGGTGTGTTCGAAAGCTACATATAGCCCAGTAGTCTGTAACCATTTCTCCGTACTCGGATATTTGTTCACTCTTAACTTTTTTCCGTTTGATGCAGATGACTGTCAGACATAGACGTCTTCGAGCTGTCTGAGACAGAGTTTGACAATATTACTCAGTCATCCAATTAACTTCTAGTGTTTAGGTGAATATGCCCAAAACATCAACAACCTCTGTTCCCTCGTTAACTCACCGAAACTAACTCCACGCCAGCGAGTGTCGATGGACATTGTAAGGCAGATAAGCGAATCATAATTTCCCTTCAACAAGTCAGTTAGATTGTTGCTTCTGTTAGCATCTTCTGGCGATGTCAACTCAGTGACGTCCCATATAGTTGACCAGGCTGGTCTGGGTGTATTCACTCCATAACACTAAAGAAAATCCAATATTTTGTTTGTTTTCACCCGTTTGTTCCTCCTTCACCTATATCACAATAATTTGTTCTGTCACCTTTCTACATCTCATCTCTTCTTTCTGTGTTGATGTCAAATACGACAACTTGGACGTATCGACTTATGTGCGAGGTTCTGCCATAATGTTTTTGCCTGTCACCTCTTTTGAAAATGTAGATGTCCAGTGACTGGATCTAATCAAATAGAAAGTCACTTGATCCTCATATTTGTTCGTGAAACTTGTCTCACGTGCTTCTTTGTCAGCAAACTAGACTAACCGCTTCCAATGGTGACGTCAACAAAGTTCGACAAGTCTTCGACCTGACGACTCAACCTTTACTGTTTCTCGATCATTTCGCTTTCCTTACTCAGACTTCCTAGTCGACTGCAACTGACACTCACCGTACAGGCTTCTGTTGAATTAGTGCACTTTGCTCTCCATATCATTTAAGTCCATTTCTCAGCATCTACAGTTCTGATGAAGAATCCTAATCACAAGAAGTAGGAATTGATTTTGCAACTGAGTCGTCACCTACTAGCATCATTGTATTCTCAGTAGGAACTACTCTCGACTAGGCTACTCCACTGTGTTCGCCACAATTGTTCAGTGGCAACCGTCACATTAGTCCTAAGTGAAATATACGGGAGAAGAACTGTGATTGTGATATTAAAGGTTACTGCCTTCAGTCAGGTGGATTTATTCTCATGTCAGTCAGAGGTGTGAATATAAGCTGAAATCACCTCATGATTACGGGCTAAGCAAGTGTTGAATTATGATCGGCTTAGCTGAGTTCATGATGTCTTCTTCTCCTAGTCAGCTGTGCAGTGTGTGTTCAAATGTACTGCAAAATCGTTGGTAGCTGATAGCCTTTAAGGTACTCCAATAGCCTGTAGCTAGAAAGTTCCGTCAAATCAAGCATTTGGTTATCAATAGACAGTCACAGTGTGCAGTCACTGCTACTGAATCAATGAGTTAAAATCTGGAACAATCCTGTAGTACTTACACTCCACACTCTTTGATAAAATGTTCATATCACAGTACTGGATCACACGGTTGATTACTTCGTTAGAACTAGAATCAGTGTTGTTCTGATGAGAAAAGTCTCGATGAGACTTATTTTCAATATGGCTCACTTTACTGGTGATTTTTGTGAACAGCTACTGTGTGTTTTGGACGTAAACCTAGAGGTTTTGATATTAGTTGAACATTTGAAGTAGGATTGTGAACACATTGACTGCATAATTGCCAAGGAATTATGAAACAACTGTATAACCAATCTATGGAACAGTAAAGCATACAAATATCTGACCACCTACTAATATTTGTAGCAATATGAACTCACTTTACACAGTATCTTACTACACAAAGCTTATTTGCATGTTTCTACCGACATGCCAGTAGGTATGTGCGTTGTTCGGATGAAAGTTGTTTTTTTCGTTTCAAAACCGTTGACAGAATCGTTCATCACGTAGAGGACAAGATTCGAGCTGTACCAATCGAAGTCGAGGATGCAGACATAATTCTGTTGGTGATACCACTTCTGTCACACCAACTGTTCGAATTACTCGTGCACGAAGCAAAGCTACGAATGCTGATGGAACAACGTCTACCACTGCTCACCGTCCTACAAATACTGTATCTAATCGAAAAAATCAACGGACTACTTGGCACTCGAATTCCTCTCAACCAAACACTTCTTCGCATAGAACAGAGGCTACTCATGAAAAAGATGATGGAAATGGTCAACTTCATCCGAACTCTAAACAAGCCGACACAGAAGCTAGTGAACAATATCGGAATAGAGTAAGTGAAATTCTTCAAGTCTCTCTGATCGTCTTGTATTGTAATAGCATAACTCCCAGGTTAGAATAAGTTTTAATAAACACGGAGCTTAAGCTCATAGCTATTTCTATTCCTCCCAACAGTTTGAAACTGAGGCAACGTGGCTTACACTAGACAGAAAGGCGATGGATAACAACTGCTGGTAAGAAGTTTACTAATGAAACTGATTATCAATCTGAAATAATGTGCAATGTCTCCGTTTATTGGGATGGGCCTCGTTACGCATTACACTACTGATTTAGGGGATGGCATTCTGAAGAATAGCAGCTCATACACTGTACTTCTTGAACCACAAAGATTTGCGAACAAAACCTTACTGTTGTACTTAGAAAATGGTAGTGTAATTTTCTCATGTTAGCACTTATAGGACGAGAGCGTACTGAATCGAATGGCATGTGTTTATACGTGCAACGAATAAATCAACCATGGTGATTTTATTTTACAAGTCTACTTATTTCTGTCTGCTCTTTGTGACAACCACTGATGTTAAATTATCATACTCAAGATTTCCAAACTCAGATTGCTCATACCTCGAAAATTCTAGACAGTAAGTCTAAATGTTACCATACAATTCAGGTGAACAGTGAATGACACCGTGGTGCTGCGTTCCGTTCCAACCTCCCTCAATTCTCATCAACTCTTCGTTTTCTGAATCTGACAGGTGGTGGGTAGGTTTATGAAGCGTAAGTTTAAATTAACCATTACATGTCTTGACGTGCTACCTACACCCAGTGATCATGCCTTTGACCAGTATGCTAAGGTAGAGAGGAAAAAGCAGATGTACTTATTACATCTGGAATAGGACAGAAGTGTGCATTATCGTCCCACAAATTCTAGGTGTTTACAGCAGGATAAATGACGTTTTATTGACTGGTTCGACTAAGAACGATTATCCTGATAGAAAGGCAGAGAAGAGAGGAGGTCCAGGATAATCGATGCTTGATTTGCCTATCATACATTATCTTTGTTAGTAGTATCAAACACTATTAACTAACTCTTCTTTTTCTTTTCAGTCACTCAGTGCTCGACGGAAAGCTATAGCGGCAGCTATGCAGCGAGAAACAGGGTTTCGTGGCAACCAATAACAAAATAAAAAGAATGAGCGGCAAAGTTTACATTCCTCAACTAATGGGATGACTGACGGGTGTCCATTTTCCTATTTTTTCATTGAGTAAAGCACAATAAGTAGTTTATTCTACACATTCAACTGATTTGGCTGTTACATCCACCGTTTATTCATTGATCAGTCCAATATTATTCATCTCCTAAGATATGAATTACTGCATCGAAAACTACAGTATAATATATTCTCATTTTCTCTACTAACCTTGTTATCATTACCTTTATTATTCCTTATACTTATACAAAAACACTTATGTAGGCTTATTAATAAAAGAAGGAAGATTGAATTTTCAGCTGATGTTTTTCTTGAACTGCGATTCATTTTGAAAAATCCCCTAGTATCACAAAGGGGATGTTCTTTACTCACTTCTTCACTATAAAAACCTGTCTAGAGAGAGAGGGAGAGACGTTCTTCTGCTCAGCAGTCTACGTGAGATTATTTTAACAAATCAGCAGGTTTCCTTATATTCTTTTCCACATACATATTTTCAATAAAATCCTGCGCCTTTTGAATATATCAAAAGTGGTGATGATACTGATACAAGAATTTCTTGTGTTTAAATGTCTCCATGTCTTCTGGCTTGATCAAGTTGTGTTCACTGTCTCAATGGTAAATGCACACAAGATATGTCTAAGTTGAATACAAGACTTGCATACTGCATCTTATACTCCTTTAATTCCAGTTTCGTGTGACTGTGAGCAGCATGCTTAGTCTATCAAATAGGATATCACTAATTCAGTTCATAGTTGTTGTTGTTGTTGGTCTTAACAGGATTTCAATGTTTTGTTAAAGTAAATGAATCTGTTAACATAAGAGTGAAACTGGAACACCATGGTGAGATGTTGTCCCATTCCAGTCGATTTGTTAGTGAAACAACGTAATTTACTGGATTACGTTTGTTACACAATTTGTTGTTCATAGTCATTCCAAGATAAGCCATTCTCTTTATCGCATTGTGATGTAGGCAGTAGAATGTTCCGTATATCTGTGATAGGCGTTGAGTCATTCTAGATGTATATATGTAGTTTTGATTCGAAAAACAAGGATTTAGTCATCAAGCACTCCCTTCACACAGCGGAGTTTATATTGGGAACAGTCACTCTGTCCCACCCTATTGTGTTTAATGGCATGCAAGTATGGAAAGCACTCTGCTGCTTAGAGTGGTCACTCTCAACGGGTCCGTCTATACGAACACCAACTGACAGTGAAACACCCATAAATATATTTGTTCATACAAAGGGATGTCGACTAATGTGGATGTGAATTCGACTTTGAAAATGCGAAAATCTCGGTGACTAGATTGTCACAGACTCGATCCTACTTCACGGAGTCATGTGTGCGCTCTGTTGAGGAATCGGACTGGGACTAAACTAAACAGCTGTCTACCTCTCTTAGGTTTCCAGTGTTTCGTCAACTGATGTCAATATATGGTGAGAACCGCTTTCAGACTCGTATGCGTATTGTGACAGGTAGGTAGGAGATACAGCTGCCACTGCACTGATCAGATGATCATCAGGCTTCAACAGATCTCAAGATACAGACACATGTTTACTGGAAACTGCAATACACTTCCATATTGTTCATTTGCTTTTATGCAAAACATGTAAGATAATTTTATCACAGTAAATTCTGCAGCATGAAATCTCCAAGTTACGAATTGACTGGAGTCCTTGTGAAATTCAGTAGTCACAAGAAGCGAGCATACTGTTTTACCATTGTCAAGTAAGGTAAAAGACTCTATCAGCATTTGTGAGTAAACAGCACCTAATAAGGAGAGGATGTCGAAATCTCACTTGTGAATAGCTACACAAACTGTCAACAAGTAGTGAGTCACTAAGTGATATCGAACTGATGGAATGGTATAGATACCAGATGCCCATAGCACCTTCAAAAACCTGTTCGACACTTGTTTTGACATAATTAGAGGAGGATCTAGAGTAAATCAAGTAATTGAACATCAGACCTGACGTGTGCTTCATTCTCCTGAATTTACGATCTGAGAACATTTATTAGCTTTGGATACTTGTCGATCTCGAGACGTTATAGAGTACACTGGTAGACCTACTTCCACAGTAATGATTATGCAGTCTCGGAAACTAGAACAACATCAAATAGAGATCAGTTAGAAGGGATTACGCCTGATTGTCCTACTCCACTTGAATATAATGACCAATCTGCCCACCAATGTTGAATCTCACTAAGTTTTAGAGTAGAAAGCTTTTTTGCTAGCTAACTGTTGTTCGTCCCTACACTCTGTTCTCATGTCCCATATTCGAAACATTTATGCTTTCGTTGTTACATTCCCCATTAGGTTTATGAAACGTAACTTGACTAGAAGCACATGCATTTCACTGATTATGGATAGTTTCCAAAATAGCTGCCTTGAAATCGATAAGGGCTTGACTAGGATCGACAGCAGTTTGTTTGACTGAACCTGATTAAAACAAGAACGGTTTACTTTTCGGGTAAATCTTCCCTGTATTAACGGAATAGATCGACCGTTCGATTGGAAAAGTATCCAGATTGTGCTGGCTGTTGTATCTCTCAAGTGAACGCTGTTAGTATTTTTTCCATAGAGAGACTGTTTGTGTTGGGTAATTGCAACCAATAAACCCTGAAGTTGACTTCCTGATCTTTCAATACTGGACTGCTGTGAGAGGGTTGATATGATAACTTTGTAGCGTGATAAATGATCTCCAGGTGTTTGAACTACTAAATCACAGTGTATACTCATAGCGAATTTGTAAATCTCTACTGGGTTGCAAATATGTTTTCGTTGTTTATCTGCTGATGAATGCAAGACGCACTAATGAGCACTGTCGGATGATATCACAAAGTATAAATAATCTTGCTTGAGTTCGTTATTCTTGAATAGGTGAGAGAAACTGAATGATTAGTTGTCTTGTTTCCTGAATATGTTCTTGTGTAGAAATTGGCTGCTTGATTTTGATGGGAAAGATACACTGAAGTCAGAGGCGTATAAGTTTTTCTTGATCGAAACCATGAACCTATGGGTGATCACTAGTCCAGTGGTCTATCGCTTGATTGCTTAGTGAAGAAAATATGATTAGGAGACACTGACACTACGAGAAAGATTAGGTTATGCGATGATGATAATAAAGAAAGATGAGCCTGGATCGACTCAGTGGATAGAGGATTTGTCGACAAGGAAACCACTGAGAGGAACAGTTCGACTGGTCTCCAGCTGTGCACTGATTGCCTGCAGTACAGTCACAGCCTGAATGGAATATTGAGATAGAGCTTCTGATTCTCGGAGAAACAGAGAGTTCTGAGTGAGTAAGCTCAGTAGGCTCAAATGGATCAGCACCATAGGCATTCAGCAACAGTGATGGAGGATTATTTGTTGGATAAAATGAAGTGTTACCTGGTGTGCGGGAATCATATGTGATCCCCTCTGACCGGTCCTAATCGTTGACTGTCTCAGTCTTGAAGAAAGGAGAAGAATTCTCTGGTGAAAACCGCAGGGGAATCAGTGTGACGAGTACTGTATAACAAAGATTCTAGGTTCCATAGCCACTCGGTGCCCGAAAGAATCTTGGGAACTTCAAACCCGAATGTAGCAGGTGAGATTCCAAGCTGGTTCAGATGTATCCACTAAATCTTGGAACACACGGACACGTGGTGCCACTTGACACTGGTAGGATTTCCGGAGGTGAATGTGGCATTGGAATCCGTTGGTGGGGAGATATCATAACAGTATCTGTCACTGAAATGATTACTGAAATCTGTGGTTAGTTGTCCACGTTGAGTGGAATGCAGCATCTAGTAGAATATCTAATTTATCTATTTCAACTTCACCCTGTGAGAGAAGTGCATGTAGATTCTGTCTTCTACTTATCTGACTTTACACTGGTTGATTTTATCAGAGGAGACTCTTCAGTGTGTCTGATGTGAGAAGACGGTAAGCCTACTTAGGTGATATCGCAGAGTTCTGCGGGTACTTCGAGTGACAGTTTGAGAATGCTTGCGATGAAGAATACAAGTTGTTGCCTCAGGCCTTGACTGTGTATAATCAACCGATACATCCTCTGTTGATAGGAAGTCAAGTGGTTGAATGTATTGACGTCTTTGCTTACTAAGGGAAGTCTCATCAAACCTGATAGTTAAGTCAGTTAGTGACGAAATCGCCGTACAGGTGGGAAAGGCTCCACTGACTTTTAACGACAAACACGACTTATGCCGTCAGGAGATATCTGATTGCTTTCCTTTAGTAAGGAGCAAGCTTACTATGGAGTAGTTCGCGATGTCCCATTACATGATTGCGATACAGAATCATAGAATATGAAAAACAAAAGAAAGCTTTAGATGTTTGACTGCACACTTAAGTGATCGCTATTCTACCAGGTATGAACTCAACGAGCTCGCGTAGCAAATCAGCGTCATAAGTGCTCAATCTGAATAATGCAAATGATTTGAAGTGTAGTGTCCTTGCCTTACACCATCCTTCAGTATTATTGATTGACTCCTATCAGCTGTTCTTACGGATTTGACTTTCATATCTGGACTCTGCATCGAAGTTCCTTCCACCAACTATCGCTGAACTAAGTGAGCATGAAAGTGTCATGTGTTTTCAAGTCGACCTAGATATTATTGGAGATAGTAGGGTGATGTGTAGCTGGTCATGTTTCTAGGTAGTCGAAATTCCTGGTGACAAACATAAACACCGTTGTAACTTCCGAATTATGAGTGTGACAGCTGACAACTCACTCTTCGAGAGAGAGAGATTCCGTCCTATGCGAAAGTCGGTTTTGAGTTCGTTTGAGAATTAGAAAGCTGACTTCTCGTAACCTGCAAAGCGTATGTAAAAAAAATTCAGTCTCGCAAATAATGCAGCATATAGTAATTGACCTCACGCACCAGTGTTATATGTACTGTTGTGTACTGAGCACCCTGTCTCCTATGGAATGACGTACTAATGACATTGGATTACATCTTGATGTTATCAAGTAGCCTAAGAGTCTTAGCTTCAATGCAGTCTGTATGATCATGCTTCTTTCTCCCTGGAACAACAGTATGTGAGTATATGAGTCGGACGTGAAGCACGTGTGATTAAACTTGGAAGTTATGCCATAAACTTATACAGCTCACCTTTTATGTGAATGTGCTAGAAACGAACGTATCAATGAACTGTGTCAACCATGTAGAATGAATTGATTATGATATTGCTTGTCATCATCCACGTATTTTGGTAATAATTAGCAACGATGTCTGCCTTCTTTCGACAACGTTATAAGTGGAATGAATTGTAATAGTTTCCTCAATCTATTTTCTGTGATAATAATGCAGTGTTGAATGCAGCTATTTCTATTGTTCGGAATAAATGTAGTGTTGTTAGTGATGATATTGAGATGTGAATGCACGATTCTACTTCACGCCGCTAATGCGATGATACTATTTCAGTAACGATCCACGTATGCCAGTGGGCAAGCGAATTGAGATTCCTATGGTAGACTGTGAACCATAGACATTGTTTGTTTTAGGACTATCGGGGAGGTAGACTGGAGTTTGTAGCTGAACTCCACTAGTTGGAAGTAGAGTGTTTGTACAAACTGGCTACAGCTTTATCCCTGTATCGACTAGGATATTTTACATGTACTCAACGTAACATAGTGAAAAATGGAAATTTGTTTAGAGCGTAGTGTTTT